ACACACACACACACACACCTTCACAAACCCAAAGTTCATTATTAACATTCATCATCATTCTCTAAACATTATTACTGCTGTTAGTTCATTTAATGCTCTACATACAGCTGGATCAGAGGTGGCTCAGTGCTTGCCAAACTCAAAACATCTGGAATTAGTTTTCATATGTTAAACACCTACTGTACATGGAAAACGGCCAAAGCACTTCAGAGTCACATTTTATTGGTGATATAACTACATCTATATTGAGCTCCAGCATTGCTAACGGCAAACAAAGTGGATCTCTGATGAGGGGTTTGTACGTTCAAAGGCAGAAAAAGGCAAATTGGTTCTCCTACTGCTGTTTCGATGCTTTCCATTGATAAAACCTACAGGGTTGATGGGAAGTGAGAGAAGACGCTTCCAAAGAACAAAAACACAATCGCTGAAGATGGAGGCAGCTCAGTTTAATGTGAGCATAAGCGCTATCGCTGTTGATGGTGCATCGTGTAGAGGGTTGTTGTAGACGGAGAGAGAGAGAGGGGGGGGGGGGGTGGTGACAAAACCTCTTTGAACTTGCACCTCCTCATCAGTAGATATCAGAACAGTCTGTGTATTTCCTATCAAAGTAGCCGCCAGTGTACAGCCAGTCCTGTGCTCCTGTATATGGATTTGTGCCTAACTGAAACCACCTAAAAACAGTAGGGGAGGTTCAAAATATTGCATAAATAACAGTAAAAACAGTAAAGGAGGAGCAGCACTAACCTAGTCGACCACTCTTCACCATCTTTGGCCAGTTCTTTACGAGCTGCTCTCTGCTTCTCTTCCAGTCTCTCCTTTTCTCTGCTGGCTTCATCTGCACAAACACGCAGAGTCAAAGAAATCAAATGTCAGGGTTTAGCATGCGTGAACAGCAGAGGGCGCTGTAGGGCTGGTTTTGAGTTTTAATGACTTCATTACCCATGTTGCCGTTCTCCATGGCTCTGATGTCAGGCCGCAGGCGGCAGTCTGTTGGTGCCAGCACTCCTTCCGTGCCAGGCTCCAGCTCATTCAGCGTCATGGCAAAATTAGTGAAGTTATACATCTAGAAGTGAACAGAAGGGGTATGGAATCAGGTAGACCACCATTACTAAACTAGTGTTTATGTATGTTCTGTAAGAAATTACAACGTTTATTCAGTAAGGATGTTGAATTGATCAAAAGTGACAGTAAAGATATTGAGAATGTTACAGATTTTTTTATTTTTTATTTCTATTCATCAAAGAATACTGAAAAAACATGGCTTCCATGATAATATTAAGCAGCAATATACATTTTTCAACACTGAAAATAACAAGAAAAATATTTATTGAGCAAATCAGCATCCGAAGGATCGTGTGACACTGAAGACTGGAGTAATGATGCTGAA